AGACAGACTCCTGTGTCGACTGGACAGAAATCACCACAAAAATAACAGCAGGGAAGGGAGACAGACGGAGGCTGTGTTCACATGTGTCTCTGTGTTGTAACGCTCTCCCTGATCTCACGTTTGTTCAGCGAGTGTCAGCAGAAAGACGTTTGTGTTAGAAAAACAGAGGTCAGCTGATATCAACATTCAACCCATCAATTTGAATATCTGAATGTTCCTGAGCTGTTAATTAAATTTTACAGCATTTAACCAGAGATAGGTTTAGTCACACTGGCAGGGCAGCAGTAGGAATGATAATGACAAGGACAAAAACAGTGAAATACTGCAGTGGAATATAAAAGGAATGACAAAAGACAAAACACTATCTGAAATGTGTGGAAAGCAAGCAAAGGAAACAGGTACAAAAACACACTTTCATAACATCGCTGTCAGTTCGTATAAAGGCCTGTTTACATTGGATAAATATCACCAGGTGACCTCAAGCGATCTGTAATAACTGCAGCAGTTGTCTTTGCTCTTAATCTTGTGCAAATCTGCCATGTCTATAATCTTCATAATAAAAAAAAACATCAAAATAATGTTTATACATCTACTCCTGTGTGAGTAAATCTTTTTTAAATATGTTTTTTCCCCCCATCCTTTTAAGGGCAGAGCATCACAGAAGGCTGATAGTGGAAATTATTAATGAGAGTTTTAATAGAATTCTGGGTGCAAATTCATGAGGCTCAGCATGGAGACCCATTACATTTCAGTCTCATCTGCAGATAATCCTCTGGATTTGCTCAGTAAATTTGGGTGAATCGCAGACTTCATTTATCCTGTGAGAAGGGGCGGGACCAGAGGGATGGCTAGTGGTGTAGTGTCCCCTCATACAATCTGACCATCCTCCCAAAACAACTATGAAAGGATGTATAATGATCAGAAAGAGGAGGCAAAGTAAATACAAAAAAGATGTAAGATGATCTTAAGGACATAAATGCCAAATGAACACAAATGGTGTTACAGTTAGCCCAAAGAGACAAGAACAACCACAATCAGATATAAATGACTTCAGAGAGCAGCAAAAGACAAAACCACTACAGAAGGGAAGCAAAATGAAAAATAAAAGAAGAAAAACAAAGACACAATGTGACTATAAAGGAAAGGAAAATGTAGAGAAAAGGATACAACATGATGCATATAAACACAAAATGACAATAAAGGATAGTGAATAGGTACACATGATTCTACAGAGGGATGGAAAAATATCCAGGGACACAAAACCACAGCAGAGAAAAGGGATGCAAAATAATACCAGAGATACAAAATTAATATAAACAGATGCAAAAGGGCCGCAATGAGAATAAAAAATGCCCCCCAAAAATGCAATACAAATACAAAAGGATAGAAGATGACCTCAATGTTAACCAAAATGCCCCCAAAACACAAAAGAAACCAGAGAGGTAAAAAACAAAGAAGCCCAATAAGAAGCAAAATCAAAGAGAAAGAGAAACGAAAGAAATGCAAAATGACTACAATGGAATGCAAAATGGCACAAGGAGGACTCAACAACAAAACAACAAAATAAAAGACAACTAAACAACATAACAACAACAGGTAGAAAGAGACCACTAAGTGACACAAAACAACTTTAACGTGCTAAAGATGAACACAATAAATAAATAAATTCCAAGAACCACAATAGGAAACAAAAGAATGTTAGAGAAGCAAAATGTCCCCAAAATAGATAAAAGAAACATAAAGCAAGACAGAGGAACCTGTTCTAAATGAATACAAAACAAAAAGCTCCAAAAACAAAGGGATGTGAAATGGCTCCAGAGATTTAAAAAATGACCACAAAGGGATCCAAAACAACCACAATGGGACACAAAATGACCACAACGAGACACACAAGACCATGAAATAACCATGTAGGAGTATGAAATATCTCAAGAGTCAGAAAATATCCTCAAGGGGATGCAAACAGACCTTGAAGAAAGGCAAGCTAAACCCACAGACACAGTGGGATGCAAAATAGTGCAAGAGAGACACCAAATTATCCAAAAGAGATACAAAGTGACTACAAAGAGAAGTTACATGCCCCAGAAGCACACAAAACAACAACAAATGAACAAAATATTAGCACATCCCAAACAACCAAAATAGGATTTAAAATAGCCATAGGGAGGCAGGAAATGCCCACAAAAAGCTATAAAGGAGGCAAGAAAAACCATCAAAGATAAGCAGCCTACCACAAAACAGATGAGATGAAAATTAGCTTGAAGAGAAACTAAATAACCAATAAAAACACAAAAATATCACAGTGGGATGTAAAATGATCATAAACAGACATAACATAACCACAGAGAGTTATACTACATGACTCAAAAACAAAAACATATGCAAAACAACCACAAAGCATGCATGGATCTTCCTAAGCGAGTGCCTCTGTGCAGAGATCTTCAAGCAGGTCTAATGCAAAGAAACAGCGAAAGAAGATAAGGTATGAGCTCCATTAAAAACACAGAGACTGTCAGTGTGAATGCAGCCTCAGAACTGGCAGCGTAAAGCCAAAGTCAGTCACTGATGAGTTAATGGAGAGTGAAAGGCGTGGGAATAATGTGGGAAAATGAGGAGCACACACGAACAAGGGTGTGACTGCAGCATCTTCTGCCGCCTACCTGCTCTTTGACAGAAGCCAGGAGGTTGGTGGTGGTGGTGCCGCTGGAGTCTGTAGGGTGGCTGTGACCACTCGGTCCCTCTCTGGCCACCATGGGCCCTTCCCCCTCTGTGTCACCCTCCTCCATCGCCTCTACCTGCCCGCTGTAGTCCAGAGCCGGCTGGCTGCTGAGGCGCCCTCTCTGACCCTGCAGGAGGACTACAAGCCGGTCAGGATGTGGACAAGGAGGAGGCACAATGACCAGAAAATCACTGTCACAGCCACTGAGCGTGTCACAGGGTGAGTCCTCTATAATAACCCTGCAGGGATTCACACTGGTTTTTATAAACCTCCCTAATATCCCTGCAGACACTCATACTGATTTTATAGTGACCTTATGGTATCACTACAACACCCCTATGGAGGCTCATGGTGTGCTTTTCTTTTTATGCACCTACAGTATCAGCCTCTGTAGGGATTCATAATGAGGCTCACTGATGAGATTAGAGTGCTTTCCCTTATATATGCTTTAATCTCCATGGAATTGTGAGGCATTTCAGCGGGGATTTAACCCTTCTGTGCCGCAGGTGACTGCAAATGTCTCCACAATTTACAGTTGCAGTAGTGTAAATGTTATGGATTGCATTTGAAGGTGTGCATGCAAGCTGCACGGGAGGCATTTAACAACATGTCACGTTCAGGATCCTTTTTTCCTTTTATTTATTTATTTATTTTTTACCCCCGTTTCTTTTCTGGGCGATAAGCGAAGAGCCTTGATCACATCTGCACACCAGCCTGACTGTCACACATCAATCACTCATCCACCATCCGGCAGCCAAGGACGAGGTCACACCGACTCACCGGACCGGAGAGCGGGGAGCGCGGCTGTGTCAATCCGAGCCTGCCTCTCTTGTTTCGGGCACGCAGAGCTGCGCTGCCCGCCCTCCTGCCTGGCAAGCGGCTGTCAGTGAGGACTCACCGGCCAGATGTTGCTGTCAGAAGCAGGCCACAGCTGGCTTGATCCGTCCTGTTACACATCCATCCTCCACCTGCGGACGGCCGTGACAGCTACTACATTTCCCACGCGCCGACGTCAAAAATAAACAAACAGTCCCCGTGCACGTCCTCGCGCTCCTCCTGCAATTATGTGTTTCCCCCCTCCTCTCCTCTTCTTTTTCACCTGCTGTGGGGTTTCGGTGCACTCATCCACCCCTGGCGTCCGCGCGGCACCCAGCCACCCACCCACCAATCAACCCGCCCAGCCACTATTACCGATCAGCGGCGTGACGTCACCATGCGGCTACGAATTGCTTTCCGATACGATAATCGATCAGCGGTCACCGATGCCCCACCGGTGCATGCGTTGCTGCAGCAGCTGCAGCCGTGCAGATGTGCGGAAGCTCCGTGCAAACACCCCGCTGGAGAGGAGGGATGCAGCCCGCGTGCGCGCGCGTGTGAGTGTGTTTTCTCCCCTACACAAACCTCCGTGGGCCTGAGTGGTCATTATGGGACTCCCAACGGTAAATTTAATAGTAAAGTTTATGAAGCACATCAGGATAACTTATGGAAATTATTTTATGAAAGCCCTTTTACGCCAGGATAATAAAACTATTAAACTATTAAACCACTGAATTCAAATCAATACAGATGAAATATTAAGAGATTTTTTTTAATCCGAGTATTTTAATACACATATTTTGATGACATTTTGCCCCGTGTTAGCTGACTACAGTGGCAGTGGAAACCCACCAGTACTTGTCCCTAACAGCTAGCAGGATGGGGCATACAACTGATAGCTGCAATCAAGTTAACATACTTTGAAACTTACCATGAACTCCTGTGACTTCTAACACTTTTTCCAGACTTCTCCTGTCACACAGCCCTGGTAAGCTTGCTCTTCATTTCCGGTTTGCTGGTAGCAGGTTTTGTTTTTTAGCTGAAATGTTTTAACTTTCAGACATCATGTTACAACTGTAGTGGAGCAAATTTACAATTGATTAGGAGATTTTGTGGTTGTATATCTGTTTAAATGCAAATGCATATGCTATGTATGCTACAATCTTATCAGACTAAGATTTTGTGCTTTTATTTAATTATGTATATGCTTCTAAATTACACTAATGTGAGGTGACCTGGAGAGTTTTGAAGAGACTAAAAATAAAGAAAATATTGTTTTAAAGTTGTTTTTTTTAAAGCTACTACAAATTTCATTTTGTTTTAAAGCTTAAACATGAACACACCTTTACTCATCTTTAAATAGTTGTGTGTGTGAGAAAGCATCCACATTTGGTGTAGAAAGAAAAGGAGGAGCTTCGTTAGTAGATTCTCACGCTCAGAAAGAAAAGAAAAAGCAGAACACAGGTACATGCACATGCCCATTTATTTAAATGACAATTAAAGAGTCTGTGTGCGGTCCTAAACGTAAGCATGGTCTCTGTTTAACAGCTGCCTTCTTCCGTCTCCTCTGGTGCACCTTAAGTAAACTTGCAGATAGAAAGCAAGACGAGTGACAAGACTTCAGGAAGGAAGCTGCAAAGTTAAGCCACTAAAAGGTTTCCCACTACTGGTTTGTAAACCGATAACGCCACCGGCTCACACGGAGCCGAGGAAGACACATGACAAAACACTGCTTTTTTTAATAACTGTGAATACCTGAATATTTAACAGCTTGTTAAAAATAAACCCGCTCTTCAAAGCAAACCGTTTCAAAAGATGATACATTCGACGTTCCTTGTACTGCAAAGTAAAACACCGTGCCGGTAAAACATGTTGGAAACACCACACAGAGATAAATTATGCATCACTGATTAAATATATTAAAACCAGACAGCCGTGTTGAACATGAAACATCCCTTGTAAGGGTTTTAAATTCTTTCCAAACGAGAGTCCGTTACTGCTGCAGCATTTCTGACACACAGGTGATGAATTTGTTGGATGTATTAGGAGAAACACGTCACCGCTATCCTTTTCATTTTAAGAGCAACACCCCCACCCCCAAACGAATGTCCCTGAAGGATTAGGATTTCTTCTGTCACGGTTACGCCTCAAAAGTTAAAACTATTAAATGACTCAAAGCTGAAAATGTCCATCAAACACAGAAATCCATTACTTTTTTCCCCTGGACATCCTGACAGTCAAACTAATGTTGCAACAAGAGGAGGAGATGGAGCTTTTCAACTTTTATAGCATCAGTCTGCTCCTAAACTGAGCATTTCAGGTCCTGAAAGTCTCCTGCATTTAATTTGGGGAATTACATCAAACACAGGGACATTATCACCTTGAATACAATGCATTGGTAAGTTAAAATCTAAAGATTCAACACTGCCTCTCGACTGATGTCGGCATATTAAGTGGGAGGAAGAAGGTACACGCACACGCGCGCACACACACACACACACACACACACATATATACAGACTTTTAAACTAAACATGGCTATGTGCCATTTAGTCTATTGGCATCAATGCATTTCAAACCGAAAAGTACATTTCTAGGCTATTTTATTATAACTTTTTATACTTATATGATGCATATCTTAAATGTTACATGAACAAAAGTTTTCCTTGCCTTTAATGCTGCAGCAGTAATCGTTCCTCTCATCTGATCAGAATAAACTCTCCATCGCGTCATGGGGTGGAGGGCTCAGCATGACTGGGCTGTGCACTAACACTAACTTCTTCCTACTGATGTCTACGAAGTCTAAACACTGCATGAGCAGGGAAAAAAACTGCTTGGTTGGCACGTTCAGAACTCACTTAAAAAAAGACGAAGGGGAAAAAAAAAAATCCTCTCCTGCCTTAATCGTCACTGGGAATTACACTGGAATTGACTTTCAGCTTGTCGGCCTGCAGAAGGAAGTCGTTATCCCCAAAGTTGTCCAGGATGTTTTATCTGTTGTGTGGGATTTGGGTTTTTTAAGCTGGAGGAAAATGCACTGATTTAGCAGAGAGGGGCTTTAACCTGGAGAATAGAGTAAATTTAGATCTTTGATTGGGAAACTGCTGACATATCTGGAATGGACTCCAACATTTGGTTCTTTGTTATATTCTGCTCTGTTGAGCCTTGTTACTGAGGAAAAATGAGTCTTTGTGAGTGCATGCTTCTGGATTTTCTAGCCTCAACAACGACAGCGTTGTGGGGCGAAGGGGTTTGCGAGAAAAGGCAACCTTTTGCAAAGCGGCAAGCTGAAAAAAAAAAAAAAATCACTTTTGGTCCAAACAAACTGTGGCGGCTGTGGCCATCAGCATTCGTTTTAGCACGTGGTCACAGCCGCAAGGCTGCTGTCTCAGCGAATGAGCGTATTTGCCCCCGCATCAGCAAACACACAAACCTGTAGCATCCCTTCAGACAGCAGGAGCATTTGGTCAAAAAGAAAAAATATGTCACGTCACTGGAACCACAATTTATAAGCACAAACACTTGGTTACTTCACTAACTCGATCTTCATACAACCAGGGAGGGGAACTAACGGCAAATGAGGCGGAAACGACCAGCCTGTTAGTTTCCAGCCCTGCACACGACTCGTCTTTCAAATCGAGGAACGACAAAACAAATAAAAGACACCGTGAGCACCGACAGTTCTACTCAAACATAAAACCCGCCTGACTTCTTTTTACAAATTAAAGCAAATAAATAGGGAGAGAGGACAGTACCTTTGCATAAACATGAGTACAAAAACATAACAGTCAGTGGATGTACAGTAAATGCGAGTGATTCCAAGAGGGGCAGAGCAGCGCCTTCGTGGGTTTGTGACACTATGAATCAGTGTTAAGACGCCCCCCCCCTCCGGACCAAGACCTGCGCTCACTAGTCCAGATCGTCCACGTCCTCCGTCGCGACAGTGCTCGTCTGTTCTGAGGTCACACCTGAAAGACAAAAGAAACATGAAGAAGAGGAAACGTCTCTGAGGCCTATCAGGCCAAACTGTAAACGCTCTCTCCCACCAATGACATACGCTTTAATACCACTGTAATCTACTGTTACAACCAGCTTATTAGTATTAGTGTTACATCAACTACTTCAAACAAACAGTTTATCCAAATAAATGTACACTGTATTGGAAAAAAGTATCGCTCAAGGGAATTTGAATGCCATCCCATTCTTAATCCATAGGGTTTGTTATGATGTTGGCCCAGCCTCTGCAGCTATAACAGCCTCAGCTCTTCTGGGAAGGTGTCTGTGTAGGCTCTTAGTGCTAGTCATTGTAATCTAAGGAGCTTGGAAAGAAAAGCAAGCTTCTTCGGTTAAAGAAGCTTCTCGAATGAGAGATGAAATGTCTTCAAGAAACTGAAAGAAATCCAGTTGCTTTTCTTTCCCAGCTCCTTAGATCTTCTGGGAAGGCTTTCCACAAGGTTTAGGAGTGCGTTTATGCAAATTTTGAGCAGACACTGATGTTGGATTAGACGGCCTGGCTCGTGGTCTCCACTCTAATTCATCCCGAAGGTGTTCAGTTGGATTGAGATCAGGACTGTGTGCAGGATTTGTTAACTTGTCGGGTTAACCTCGAGTTTTCATTTTTATAATGACTTCTGCCACAGGCCTAACATGCTCCAAAGCACATCCAGTTTAAAATAAGAGATCACCTACTGACCAATCAATTCTCTGAAAGTACATCACCAATGCTGGAAGCTTGCTCAATGCGCAGACAGCAGGAAGATCTAATCTTTTTTTAATAGTGTCTAAAGTCTTTGCCTTTCCCTGGTGAGCGTCAGTAAGAAATACAGATTTCTAGAAGCAACTTTGTTCCCTTTTTTTTCATGTTGGTTGCAAACAATTTTAAAATGATTTCATTTTCCTGTAACCCTGAGCCAAGTCTATGTTTGATTTCTTTTTCTTTCATCTAGTTTATAACCACACACAGCTTCTGCATTTTGGCATTAAGTAAATAATTACAATGCCTCATGCGTTGTTGTTCCTCTGCGGTATTAAAATAATTAAGACCAGATTAAATTCTTTAATTATCCACATATGTCAAACGTTAAAATTGAAAGAGGGTGTCGTTTTTTTCACTACTGTAGCATCACAAAATGTAATTAAAAAAAAAAAAGCCTCTTGAAGCCATAACAGTAGCCCGACAGCAATTTAAAGGTATTTTACTTTCATGAACATTTGGAATATTCATGAATATTTGGCATATTTGGTGAAGTCAGTCTAAAGACCTACATGATGCCCTAGGTGCACGCACTCTTTACTCATTTTTGATACTCGCTTTGAAAATTCATCATTGGTGCTGCTATTTGAACCACCATACTGTTTGGACACATCCATCAGCTGATGCAGACTGTGGCTGTGGATGCAAAGACCACTTGCTGGACCTGTAGCTGTATACATTGTCTAGCATCTCCATTAGCTCCGCTGATAGAAGAACAGATGCAGAAAACTTTTACCAACCTATACCACAATACCTGCCTTCATTACTTATTTCCTGAGGTCTTCAACTCTTTGTATTTTCTATTTAATTGGCAACTTTTGGGAAAATTAAACATTTCTTATCTTACTCTGTACTAATTTTTGTAAACATGATCAATACTATGTATTGAATTTACTGCAGGATTCACACATCACTGGCTAACACCCTACGGCTGTTTGACATCATACTTGAGGCATCGTCGTCATTGAGTGACTTCTTCTGCCCCTCCACGTAGCCGTGACTCAGCAGCTTGGACATGCTGACGGGTGTAGTCTTCTTATCATAAGACCTGAAGAGGAGGCAGAACACAGCAGTTTTACTTTACGCTTTAACCCATATATATATATATATATATATATATATATATATATATATATATATATAATATATATATATATATATATATATATATAGATAGATAGTTACTTTAAGGACCAAACAACCAGAGCGTTATTACCTTCTTTTGTATTTGTTGGTTATTGTCAGACCCTCCATCTCAGAGCCTGGAGCATCAGGAGACATCTGCAGGTTGAGAAAGCTGTGGTTATCTCTGTATCACTTCAAGACATAAAGGACTTGCATGTAACAGCACAAGTATTCAACAAATACATCATTACTTTAAGTGGGCTACTAATATAGCATGGGGTAAATCTGGGAAACAGAAAAAGGATGAAATGAAGGAAGAAAAGTGAAGAAAATAGTTATGCCATGAAAAATGATCCAAGAAACTGACAACAAAGTAAAACTGCTCAAACCCAAAATACTTAAAAAGCATAAATATATAATAAATAGCAGTTTAAAATTTTTTTGCACTTTCTCTGCACATTTTATTTGATGCACTTCTCAATATCTGAAAACTATCTCTGTCACAGCTCAGGAACGTTACTTCTTCAGATATTGTACAGTGTAACATATTCAAAGCATCGCTTGTACTTACCCAGAGATTTGATTAAAAAAAACAAAACAACAAAATTCCAATAAATTATCACCCCAAAGCACCGGCAGCAAATAGCAAATTAGACCCAAATAAACTTCAAATAAGCTCAAAATGCATCAATGGAGCGAAACCAGGTGAAAACACAAGGAAAGGTGATGGGAAAAACTTATAAATAAATTAAATATGGAAGGCACTGGTATGGCGTCAGTGGAAGGGCAGTGGAAGTGGGAGGGGGTGATGCATTTTTGGAGTCCATTCACCTTCTCTTTACCCTGGGTAAATCTATCAGTCTCTCTTTCCCAGGATGTACTGTTATCAGTGCCAAACGGCGGGGCAAGAGGCTGCCTGCCTCCCTTCATCTGGCCATCGGGAGACGTTTCCTTGCTTTCGCTGTAAGCACAAAACCACGATGACATGCCATGTGAAATTACTGCTGGACACTTCTGACAGCCTGCCAACTGTTAGGATGCAGACTTCATGGCTTGCTAATGCCGAGGCCCGCGCTCAGGGTGACCAATGAGCGCAAATGGTCATCAGATTTCTCTTTTATTAAACAATCGCTATAACTGAAGCTTTTCAGTTAGTGACGCGTCCTCATCGCAGCTCGTCTCTCACCTCTTTGACTCATCTCCTCCAAACCAGTTGGATGGATTGTAGGTTTTCTTCGGCATGTCGTCATCGTCCACATCGTGGCTCAACAGCCCTGCAGCAAAAAGAAACCCCCCCCCCACAATGAAACCAAAGCACTGGCAGCAGTAATGATGCATTGTGTCTCACCTTTAAGAGCACAATGTGGCATTTAACTCACAGCCTATTCAGCCAAGCAGCTAAACAATTACTCCAGTCCAAGCTGAGGCTGGAACTGTTTTTTTTAGGCAGCCTAATTGTGAATTCATAATGTTTATCTTCTCTTCTGCTGTTTGCCACATTATTCTCCTGCATTGCTGTTACAGCAGTGATTTGACAGTCCTTAACCATCTACAACAAAGGGTGGATCGCGACCCTGAACTTTTCAGTTACAGCACAAGATGGAGAGAAGCTGTAGAGTGCCCAGGAGGCAGAGTGAGTGCCAAGTCACTAAAAGCTTTAATAAAGAGAGCAGATTATGTTAAGCAAGTAGTGCACTTGAACTTAACGCATCAAAATCTTTAATTGGAACTTTTTCCAATGGACTCTGGTATCTGGAATCAAACCTCTAATGCATGTATGTGCACAAAAACAAGCACTACAACTTCTACAGGGCTCTGATTATTCTATACCCTAGACATCACGCATACACTTTAAAATACATTTCCTTAAACTTAATTTAAAAGATAAATGAGTAACATATGTGGATATAGTGAGTAAATTAAAAATATTTGTTTTTAATTAAAATCTGAATAACCACAATATCACATTTCTTATCAAATGAGCCCACACGTGCAGACTAGCATGAAATACTCATATGAAACTTTCTGTGCAGGAGCTCTGCTTCTCCCAAGAGAAATGAAGCCTGCAAAGTTGCAGTTTCTATAAACAAAAAGAGACTGTTGTGTTTTCCTAAAACGCAGAAGCTTTTCTTTCTCTCCTTCTTTTCATGTTGTGGACTTTTAAGCCTGTTGTTTGAGGTTTGCATTTCAAAGCCATGTGTGTCACCCGTTAGGCGTTTTTAGTCACAAAAATGGGGCGAGTAGTGTGGCTTCAAAGCCTCCACGCTGAGAGCAGCAACCGCAGAGGGCTCATCCAGGTAACTTCAGGGTATCCTGACCAGGTTATGTTTAAGCTTAGACATCATCAGGTTTGAAATTGCTGCCTATCAACTAACCACTTCTCTGGAAAACAGAATCATCATCCTTGGAAAAGCCCTCAGATCTGTGTTGTCAGTAACAGAGTGTTAAGTTGTTTTAAGAACATCTGAAGCCTTTATTATTTTCCCTGAAGAGCAACAGTAATAAATACAGGCTCTTTATTATTGATTTTCCTCCCTGTTTGCTGCAATTCTTGATCAATTTTATTGTTCTACACGTTTGAATACAGAATCCTAAAACACGACACCTATTTTATTTACTTGCTGACCTTTTAACAAATTTGCACACAGACTACGACTGAACATTACCAGGACAGTCGCTCAAAGAAAATCTAACGATTAATTTAATATGTAACTGTAATCCATCTGATTCACCCGCTCTTTAAAGATAGAGCTGTGGTACTGAGAGGTCTGTAAACTCTTACAGTCAGCATTTTTGCCAGCTTTCCTCCTTCAAATAAGCTAAACTTTATTAATATAGCCCAGTAACGCTTCACTGAACTTAAAGCTCACATGCATTCATGCAGCACCTTTAAAACCTCACACACACACACTCACAGCTGATGTGTCTGCAGCAGCTGTGCTGCTTTCAGTCTGGATCATGTGGTTAACCTCTTCATCTTTTTATCGCCACTGTAAAATCTGTGGCTCTGCTGCTGAGTACCCTATCCATGTTTTGTATGATAAATAAACCCTGGCTTCACTTATCAACCTTATAACCACCTTTATTGACTGCCTATATTAGGGTACGTGAAGCCAGGTGAATGAGTTTCCTCATCCGAATGCTGGTACAGACCGTAGAAGGAATCTCCTACGTTGGATTGTGCTAAACAAAACTCCTTTCTTGCACAGCTGTGAGCCATTTTAAGGCCTTCTGATTTTTGTGTTTTTATGTTTCATTTTCTTTTGTTGACATTCAGATACTAAACTTTATTATAAAATTATAATATTATTCAATATCCATCCAAGCATCCACTTTATATGGGTCCAGGTCACAGGGGCTGCAGTTTAAACAGAGATGCACAACCTCAACCCAGCCACCTGTAAAACTCGTCTTGAGAAACACTGAGGGGCTCCCAAGCCAGCCAAGTGACCGAATCTCTCCAACATGTCCTGGGTCTGTTCCAAGGTCTCCTCTTGGTAGAACATGTCCTGTATACCTCACCTAGGAAGTGCCTAAAATGAGATGATCTCCAAACCACCTCAACTGGTTCTCTATATGGTTGCCTGTGTCAAAGTGCTGGCCCTGAGACAGACATGATCTGTCTAGGGTGTACCCCACCTCTTCAGCCTCCCCATGACCCTGAACTGCATAAGCATACTAGAGGCTGACCGAGAGACATATTTGATGATTTAAAAATGGAATAAATCAGACTCTTTCAGACACACACAACAGACTTCTCTAATATTTGCTATATATAGCTCTAGTACTTATATAAGTACTTTATATAGTTTAGTCTCCCCTCAAAATATGTTACTGTTTGGTAAATGGACAAAAATTATAGACTTCCCTTTAGTCTTCTACTCTGAGCCAGGAAAACTCTGAAACTCTTTATAAAATTAGAGCATAAAATCACTTTTTTTACACTGGCAATCTTCATATAGATGCATTTCAAGGCATCTATATGAACAGACAACAACTGTCTAATTTTACCTTTGTGTCCCCCCTGCTTCGCAAGCTTGACATACTCCGAGTCCGTCTCAAATATCCCAACTCGCCGCCCACTGATCCTCTCCACTGGAGCGCTTTCAGTGGCGGTCTGGCACAGCCCAGGGATCTGGGAGGTCGGTCCCGTCACGCCGCTGTTCGCCGCCCCGGGCTTTATGCCTGCAATAAATGAAAATTACAACGCTGTGTCCTTGCTGATAAATATGTAATTAATTTTTTAGCCTTTAGTTTCAACATGTATTACAGGTTATAGAGTTTGGATCTTACCACCAGGCTTGGTCCTTCTATGGTTGGGTACAGCAGCACTCATTTTATCTGAAGACAAAAAGGCAGGTCTGATGAGAAACAGGCCCGTTTTATAATGTGCAAAGAGTTTCTTTAAAACAACCTGGCATTTCTCACACCTAATTTATTGCTTAGTTGACAGCATATGTGTTGATTTTATAAAAAAAAGAAAGCCAAAGAACACTGGAAACACCTGCTTATATTTGTAATTTTTCTAGGGTATTTGGAGCCTTCTGTAAAGCACAGCGGCGGTACTGTGCGCCACAGTAATGACACTGACGAGACCATTAAAAAAAGCAGTATTTTGCGTTTATTTTCAGAAGCTATAAAAGCTAATAATTGCACATTTCTCATTCTTTAAAAACTAAAGCCGTGTAAAATTAAGAGTTTTACTTCACAAATACTATCCTGCATGTGCATACGGTCACACAGCTTGGGCAAACACAGCTGAGGCATCTTTTTTTTCTAGTGTTTTCCACGCTATAATTTAACAAAGCCGTGCTAATGTGGTTAGCCGCCTCCCTACTTGCCGCAGCAGCTCTCCTGTGTTCAAATATTTTGCGCTACAGCGGTGTTCTTTAACAACACAACAGCAACGAAAACAAGACATATGTCATATGTGGTTTTTGATTTCTCGTAATTGTGAAGCAGGGTGTTGCTGTTAAATACCGTTAGCTTCTCGTTCCTCTTCTTCTAGAAGCAGGGCTGGACACAGACACTTCCTGCGGCACCTGCTGCCCACTTCCGGTGCACAAGGAGGAAGATCGTGTGTGTCTGACGGAGAAAAACTCTGTGATTTTCTCTGTGACACTCACAGTGGATTTAGAGATAATGGCACAGAGCAGGAGTGAGAATGGGACAGAGTGAGACCTCTTCTCGTGATTGTGCTCGGAGCATGAACTGCTAATCCTAACTGGGCTACGACTAATTTCGGTTTCAAACGAACGACTGTTAAAACAGGCTAGTTGGTTAATGAACTCAGTTTTATGTTCCGGTGTCCCTTATTGTTTATTATAAAACAATTTATGTATAGTACACAACAATATTTACTCACCTGTGACCAGGTAATCGTAATGAGGTTGGACTTGAGCTTTTTTTTCCTTAACCATACCATAATTTATTTATATAGCACTTTAAAGGTTTAATTGTATGTATGGGTGCTACCATGCTAATTACATTGTCCGTATTGACACTAGTTGTGTCTATAATACAGATGAAGACTGATTGATCATTCAGACCCTCTGCTCGCTTGTCTGATTCTTGCATCTAACAGTCTGCACAGTTTTGTCTTGATGCATGCTCAATCATCCAGGTAAGTAAATCCCGAAAGCTGACTGAGCCCACTTATTCAGTGGACTAATTTCAGTTATTGTGCAAATGTACTGTTTATAAGGTTGGGGAAACCTGCAGTAAGCTGAGACTGAAGAAGTCACTTGGATGAGTGAGGAAACCTTTCTCCCACTGAAAACGCTACGTCCAGATGAACAGAATCAACCTTTTGGGAGTCTGCACAGTTCTTTCATTAAAAAGAACAAGAAAAAAACTAAATATTCATGTTACAGGATAATACAATCAGCTGTTTGGTTGCCATTATAAGCTTCTGGTTTTTAAGTGTTGCTGTTATAATCGAAAGCATTTTTATTACATATCAGTGTGTTCTCATCCCTCTGTCTTGACTGCATATTTCCTTTGTTTAACAAGATATGAGGATATTGTTGCAGGATCCCTTTCCCCTCTTTCCTGATAGTTTAGGCTAAACCCAATGATTAATTTCTGCACAAATTAATGAATGTTTTAATACTAAACATATAAAAGCGTAAAACGAATTTTTGTAAATTGGGTCTTTTTTTTTGGCTAACTTTGTCGTGCAAACTTTGTGTCATAACTGTGTAAATGTATACTGTCCTTCTGGATTTTTGACTCAGCATAGCTAGTGGGCCAGCATGTCAAAGCCTTAATCCAGTTTAGCATCCTTTAAAGCTCTTTATTGTGCCTAACAGATTGAAATTAGATTACATAGCAATGATTTAATTAGAACAAACAACATTAGTAGTAACAATTACATCATAGTGATATCAGTTAAGAACAGCCTCACATGCTCTTACATGTGCTGTCACATAGTATATTTGGGTTACAGCATTCTTGACTTGAAAGTAAAACATGTTCTTGTTCCACGTATGGATGTTTTCTGAGCAAAATGCAGAAATCCTGATGGGGAATAAAGGCTGCAGGTCATTCACATAAGACGCAGTATCTTCAGTGCATGCATAAAAAAACATGTTAATGTTTAAGACACTGATAAATGATTCAAATCATGCAAAGTTAGGTGAATGCTGCTGTGCATGCCGACAGGCAGCCAATCCGGCTCGGGTTGTCTTCTGGTGGATTTCGCTCAGATGTCCTTGCCGCAGTCGGGGCACAGGATGTCGTCTTTGCACGTCAGGAAACCCCGACCAACCAGAGACACACAGCACCGTTTGCAGTTGAAGCAATCGTTGTGCCACTGGCGCTGCTCGAAAGAGATGTATTTGCTCCCCCCAAGACCTGAGATGGAGAGAAGAGTCAGTAAAGGGGAGTCTCATGATCTGGGTAATGAAATAACTCCGTAATTGATGGTGAGTGGATCCACGCAGGATGCTGAGGAGGGGTGGTTTATACTGTGATCGTCACCTAAAAGCAGTTAAGATTAAGTTGCTTTTAAGTATGCTCCCATGATCAAAACTTTGCAGTATTAGATTTGTCTTGCTTCTGGGTGTGATATTTAAAGTGCTGCTTTAAGTCGCACTTATGGTTGCTCGTTGGCCCAAAATAAAAAGTGATGAAAGCCACGGCCAAAACCATTTAAACTTGTTATTCAGTCTTTGAAGACAAGTAGACAATTATTTGTTTAGTAGAATTTTGACATTGCATGATAAACTCCCTGAACATTTTATTAGGTAATGCAAATGGCTAATCATACATTAAAAGACGAACCAGCTAAAGCTTAAATGTAGTTCGAAAGGGGAACCTGGGACCAGTAAGGTGTACTAATTTACTCAGTCCTGAGTTCATATGTTACAAAGAAACTACAAAAGAGTCCATCATTTCAAGCGTTCCCATCCATCCATCCACATTCGCTTGGAATGTGGATGTCATGCTGCCAGATGAAGCTGCCAGTAGTTTAGTATAATTTAACAGGAAAAATTGTTAAAGTGTGGACTTAAAATCATAATTCCAGCATATTTCCAGTAATTCATTTCCCAATGAGCCTCGACTCAACATGTCAAGCTCGTTTGGACAAGAATCCCCTTTGTACAGTCGTCAAACTGATACCACAGCTAAATTAAGCACCTTAATAGTTTATCCTGAACACTGTGGGTCATAAAAATTAAACGCGTAAAGCAATAAAATGAAAAATTTAAAGGTGCAAAGTGTCGGTAACTCCCTGGTTATATGCTGGATGTGTAACATGAAGGGCAGTACTTCTGATATGAGTGTAGCATGACCTTTACCGCTGATTGGGGTGGTGCAGTAAGCACATTTCTTAGCAAACAGGTTGCAAAAGCAATCAAGGCAGTAGGCAAAATCATCTCGAGAGGTGAACCTCTGGCCGGCCAGCTGCTGCTTGCACCCGATGCAAACAAAGCACTCCTTATGCCAAGGCTGGTCGTGGTAGTTCACACCTCCAGTGGTGATGGGCTGAAAAAGAGCATTTTACAAATGTTTAAATGACCAGCAGGGGGATAACTGTGGTTGTGAAAAGACCCAGTCCCAGGCTTCAAAACATGCTTTCACAAACAACCAGGTTATGTAACCGTAGCTACATGTTTTATACCATTTGCGTCGGACATATATTGAATCTTAAGGTCTAAAAATACCTTTTCAAATGTTTTTAATACTGTGTCAGAGCAGAAACACACTTGATAATCCAGCTGTCAAGCATAAGCTAGAGCAAAAATTTTGAATAAGGTGAGAAATCGTTTAAAAGAACAAGACCAGGATTCCATGCCTTCGACTACAACTCTGTAACTCCCACTGAGTTAAATACTTTTCTCACTTGAGCTGCCAAACTTGTCACACAGGTACATCTTAAGCCCCCGAAGGCTCTTATCTATAGCTCATATAATGTCATGTTGCCTAGCAACTACCAAGAAATGGGTTTAAAAGACCTGTTTTTAACACTGATACATCCATAAAGCTTGATAAATAACACTGTCATTTTTGATTTTACTATTTAAAAACCCCCAAACAAACAACGATTTATTTACACAACTTGAATAATGCATATTTTATGCCATCATTAGGTTGCCTGGCAACCTCCTAGCAATGGGCTAAAGTGACCAAATTTTAGTATGCACATAAATTTCATTCAGATTTTCTCACTGTGATTAAGTATGATTAAATATTAGTGTGCAAACAATACTGTACATAAAAGTATTTTGCAGAAAGATGCATGCTGAAAGTGGTATTACGCCCAAATAAAGGTGCAAACATCACCCAGTATTGCACCCAAAGCTAAGCACGTCTTAAACATTTAAGCCTTGCATAGTTTATCCTTGGAAGTGACACTAGAAATTGAGGTATTTTGTTTCCTGTACTTGCTGTACTTGTGGATGTGAATTATCAAGCTACCACCATGTCATGTGATGTTGACTGAGAGGAACTGATCATCTTGTTTTTTAGTATTGTTCCTGTCTGTTTTGGTAATGTTGTTTGTAAAATAAAAAATCCTGTTATTTCATTTACCGCTCTTTGCCTTTGTAAACCAGTTTAACTTCACATTCTTGTCATTTTTGTGCATTTGTTGCTGACTTAGTCACAGGGGAGGCAGATGACTGCTCTCTCAGCTTTTAGCACAAAAAGACGCCTCCGATCCCTGCCTGTGTGACCATCTGTTTCCTGCCCAGAACTGTTACGTACCATGGATGTGAATCTTTACCCGCCTTCATTGCATGTATTTTCATTATGGCAGCATTTACATTGATTTGGACCATTTATCAGGCCAAGTATACAGAGCCTGTGTAAGACCTTTCTTTTTACATGTCAGACCAGTTGAATCTGCAGCTTAACAAACACAGCGATGATTATTAGCCACAGCGTGTCACTTTACCTTCTTGCAGTGGACGCACTGCAGAGCAAACTGCTTCTCATAGCAGGGCAGACAGTAGTTGTTGGCATCCTTCTGGACAAAGCTCCTGGTGCCAATGGGCTGCTGGCAACGGTTGCAGGTGAAGCAACTCTCATGCCAACTGTTGCCCTTATGCTCCATCTTTTTAGAGCCTGGTGGGTGCACAAGACGGAGAAGGAGAGAGAGTGACTAACAAATGTCATTTATTAGTTTAATCCATCTGGTGCTGATGTATCGCTGTGTTGTCATTTGGGAAATCTCCAACTTGCTAAAGCGGCTGTGGCTGTAAAAACTCAGTGGCGAAGGTCATACTCTAGTCTACTCATAGCCCACACTGCAAACGCTACAACACTTTTGGAAGTGGGACACTGGACTATTTTATCCCTCCATGTTTATATCATTATTGTAGTGGAGATTGTTTCCTATTGATATCAACAATTTGACGAATAAATTGTATATTAGAATTTTGTTGGCTGCCATTTTGACAGCTGAAATTGTTGGTCAGACCTAGAATCTGTGTGTGCTACAGTAACCTTAGAGTTTCCTAACCTGGCATGATGTTCTTCAGACACGCGTGGCACTTGGCAGAGTACTCGTTGCTGTAGCACTCGATGCACATGAGCGCTTCATTTTTGGTGGCAAAGGGCCGATCGACCAGAGACCGGCTGCACTTGTTGCAGAGGAAGCAATCGCTGTGCCAGTGGCGATCCTTGTACGACAGATCCTGCAGAGACAAACACTCTCAGGTTCTGTAGTTCGTGGAAATATTTAAACAATGGCAAAAAACAAGAATCACTGTAAGAAAAATGTAGCAGTTAAAA